AATCCTGTCCCCAGCATCCTGCTACTCACACAGACAGGGAGGGCTCCACAGAGCAGAGCGACAGGACTGACCCAGGGTCTCAGAGCTTTGCCTTCGGAAGCTCAGAACCAAACGATGCAGAGGAAGGGGGCCTTTAAAAATAGACAGAAGAGCTACCCAGGGAACGATTTCTTCTTTCTGCTCCCAAGCTAGCCTGCAGTCTGGCTCTATTTCCATGGACTCCAGCTCCTTCATGTCTGAAGCCCTCAGCAAATTCTTTGTTAAAAAGCTAGAATTTCTTGGCCAAAAGGATGAAATCAGCATCTGAATGGCTTCTATATATAATCCCCGGTTTGCAGGGAGAATGTGGGACAGAGGAACATCTTTTTTTTTTTTTTTTTTTTTTAATATATTTTATTGATTTTTTACAGAGAGGAAGGGAGAGAGATAGAGAGTTAGAAACATCGATGAGAGAGAAACATCGATCAGCTGCCTCCTGCACATCTCCCACTGGGGATGTGCCCGCAACCCAGGTACATGCCCTTGACCGGAATCGAACCTGGGACCCCTCAGTCCGCAGATCGACGCTCTATCCACTGAGCCAAACCGGTTTTGGCAGAGGAACATCTTAAATGACGCCACGGGGTACAGCTCGCACAGCCCCGACACGGGAGCCCACAGGACAGAGGCCCGAGCTCTCCGGCCTAAACCGCAGAGGGAAAAAGGAGTGGAAATCTATAAAGAAACTCAAGAGCTCTTCAAACAAATGCAGTGCGCCGACCCCATGTGGGTCACGATTCAAGCAGGCCAACTGTAACAGTAAATTCACACGATAATCAGAAAAACTGGCCCCGACTGAGTATCTGCTGAGATTAAGAAGGGACCGTTGTCCTGTTAGCTGTGACCTGGTGCTGTGGTCATGTTCGCAACGAAGCCCTTACTCCTAAGACGTGCACCCTGAAATGTTGATGAGGAAATGCTGGGTGTCTGGAAGTTGCTTCCATAGGGGTGGGAAGTGAAGGTGATAAACTTGATCAGCCATGAGCTGATGACGGCTGAGGCTGGGCAAGGGGCACATGGGAGGTCACTAGCTTATTCTCTCTACTTTTGTGTACATTCAAAAATTTCCATAATAAGAAGTTATTTTTTAAGATAGCCTTTCTCCCCCTAATGCCTTCATAACTTTTTCTTTGATTGGCAGCATCTTACCAGTCTAATGCTGGGAACGGCTATTTTATCAAAGCAGCCCCTCTCTCCCTGGCAGAAAGGCTTGTCCCCTTCGGGTGAAAGTTTGATGTCATCACCATTCAGATGTTGGATCACTTTAGTACAAACCCCATCACATGCCCTCCATGAGAATCCAGGAGCGAGCGTGATCCCTAAATGGGAACCATTCTCTCCAACCTGGCGATTGTGTTCTTTCAGTTTATCCTTACAAATCAGTCCCAGCTTTTCCTAGAGCTGACTGTTAGCTGATACCATATAACAAGTCTAGCTAATCCTAGACCAGAGACACTATGTCTGAGGAACCTATTTAATTTTATTGAGATGTAATATGAAAACCCATTCGAGCAAGGAGCTCTGTGTGGTCCTCAGAGCAGCCGGCCCCCTCCCCCCAGCAAGTGACCAGGTTCTCGGCCATTGCCTTTGGCTCAAGATGTGGCCACAGCATATGGGTCGGAAGCGAGTGAGAGGCGGCCTTGGCGCTGCTCAGGGTTTTGATGGGACTGAGGGGGAGGCCCCCGCCTGGTTGGCCCGCGCTCCTCCCGCCCCCGCACTTGGGCCCTCTCTGCTCACTGCCCTGCCTGCGTGGACACACCCTAACCTCTCGGAGCCACCATTTCCCCAGCTGCCCTGGGCTCGCCCTTCTTCTGAAGCCTGGCTCTGTGTCTCCTCTCTCCTCACTTGTCTCCCTTCTCAGACATGGGTCAGCCGGCAGCACCGCCTCGGGTCCTTCCACGATCTGGCTCTTCGGAAGCTGTCTGACCAACCAGACTGTGAGGTGCGAGAGGGAGGACAGGAGAGCGCCGCACCCCACCAGACCCTCCGCCAGGCTCTTGACGCTGTGAAGGCGCCTGGGCTGGCTGACTAAAGCCCAATGTGCAAATGTCAAACCATGTGCGTCCCCAGGGCTGATGTAGAGGAGACAGGCTGCCTGCCACTAGTCAACATGGCTCTTTTGTGCCGCTTTTTTGAAGGTGCTTTCTCGGGTTCGACCATCTTGAACGGGCTGTGTGTCATGGGGGTGTGCGCAGGAAAAGTCCATCAACCTGCGCACTTCACTGCGTGTCAGGCACCTGATGGCCATCAAACATCCATAGAGAATAAGTCAGGGCCCGGCGGGCGTGGCTCAGGGGCTGAGCGTCAACCTATGAACCAGGTCACGGTTTGATTCTAGGTCAGGGCACAGGCCCGGGCTGCGGGCTCGATCCCCAGTGGGGCCATGTAGGAGGCAGCCGATCAATGCTTCTCTCTCATCACTGATGTTCTCTCTCTCTCTCCCTCTCCCTTCCTCTCGGAAATCCATCTATATGAACATGTCAGTGGGTGAGGGAATGAAAGGTGCCCTTCCTCGGGGAGGTGCCACCCACAGCAGCGCACACGGTGTGGAGAGCGGAGCCTGGTCAGCTCAGCTTCCCGGGCTGGCCCCCCTGGGGAAAGGCATAGCCTATATGACGGCACATGTGACCCTGATTCCAGAGGTGAGAGCCCCGCCTTGAGGGACTTTCTGATGCCCCAAGTGCCGTACCATCCAACGGGCAGCACCGAGGGTGTGATGGCGCCACTCTTCACGGGACTCGAGTTGGGCTCCTCAGCCACCAAGGCTGCGCCGCCCCCTCCCAGGGCCCACATCAGCTCAGGGTGAGGACGAAAGACGCTTCAGCCTGGGGTGACGAGGCGTGACACGCCGACAGGAATGAGCAGGAATCCACCCTCCCAGAGCCTCGGTTCCATTCCCCTTGAGGGTGGTAACGTAATCTCCCCCTTACCTGTCCCCCACCTTTCTCTCTGAGGCTCCCAGCTGCCCCGAATTCACAAGCTTGCCTGAGACTGTGCACTGCTCTTTCCTGAGGCCCGAAAGCACATGCCAACGGGCCTTTTCACCATCACGGAGCCAATCTGCTCAGCATCTTCTCAGAACAGAACAGGCTAAATTTGGCATCAGGTACCTGAGACGCTCATGGTGAGAGGAAGTGGAAGCTATTCTGATGCTGAAGGAGAGGCGTACCGTGAAGGTGCTGCTCCGCTGAGGTGTTGCGACAGGCTAAAAGCGGCTGGAGGAGCAAACCCCTACGTCTCCAAAGGGCCCCAGTCCTGCGTTTTGGGGACAGGGAGCCAGCTCATCCCGAGTCTGATGGCCATAGGGCCCTTAACACCACAGGCCCAAGTGTGAGCCTTGCCCCCGCCAGGAGCAAGATTATGTGACTGCTTCGCCCAGCAGGAGCCCAGGGTCCCCTAACCCCAGGGTCTGAGGGTCTGCAGGATGCATGGGCCGCGTAGATATGAAACACGGAACAGGAACGTGAGCAGCAGACGCCAGCCTCCTCCTGTCCCTCGGAGCTGCCCAAGCCTTTCCAAACTGTCCTGTGCTGGGCTCTGCAGCTGCAGCTACACTGAAGGGGAGCAGCCTGCTTGGTTCCAGAGGGAACAGCCGATTCCCCCCAGAGAGAACACCCAGGTGCTCTTCCATCGGCTCTAGACATGCTCCCGTAGAGGGAGAGCCGTCATCAGAGCCGGGGCCTCGCTCACCTGAACCTCAAACAGAGCTCAACACGCAGCAGAGCGCACAGTGCGTGCAGTGCTGCGAGCCGAGTGCGTCCGACTGCGTTACTGGAAGAGCCCGTCGGAAACGGGCAAACCCTGCAAGAGGGATCTGGGGCTGGCCCGCCTGCGCCAGGCTTCGGGCCACCAAGAGCCTTTCATTGCTGTTCGTTGTCTAAGAAATGACTTCGGAAGAAATAATCGCACGACAGGCACAGCTGGGCAGCTGGAGAATCAAAAACTGCATTCCCTCCCCGTTTGCGTGCTGCCACACAGAAAAGCCAAAGCAACATCAGCAGCAGACTCCCCGGGAGCCGGAAGCGCAAGCGCACGCGTGTGCACACGCGCGCGCACACACACACACACACACACACCCCGCTTCTGCTACTCCCCAGGGCTATTTGGTGTAAAGATAACGCCTCCATTCTACCCTGTCATCTCTCAGTGGCTTTCCGTAGTTCTCCATCCACTGATTTTACTAGACGTTGGCATTCCTTTCCACGGCATTCACTGCCCTCGATGGCTTTTGTGGGACCCCGAGGCATACATTTTAAACAAGCTGGTTTCACGGTTGGCATTTGATCAGATACGTGCTGTTTAAATCAATCTACGCAGGCCCGGCACCTCCCTGGCCGGAGGTGGTGAGCTGAGTCGTGAGACAACAGGAACATGTGTGGTGCCAGGTGACTCAGTAGCACTCTTGCTTCCCCCCAAACGTGCTGCACCAGCGCCTGGTGACAGCACCCGACCCTGTTCGTGCTGTTGAGCCCAAATAAGTACCTCCTGGTGCCCGGTGGCATGCTCCCCTTCCTCCAATGACGACTATAGCCACCCAATGCCCAAGGAAAGCGCATGACCAAGTTCACGGTCCAACTATTTCCACATCCCTCTGCCCCTCCAGCCACTCCCATCCTGCTCCGTCCTCGCCCACACAATGGACACCTGCAGACAGGGAGGCCGGCCGGCCGGGCTGGTGTTACATAAGCCCCTCCTGGGCCCGACATTGGGGGGAAGCAAATTTGGGGTTCATGACGAAGTCGCGGTCTGCAGGCCCCGACGGACCCTGCGCTCGCCATCCAGCCTCGCGGGGCGGCGGGCGCGGCGGGAGAAGAGAGGACGCCTCCCGCGACCACCCGGCTCACGCCCTCGGAGCTGGGTTCAGAGTGTGGCCGGAAGTCCGACCTCACCGTCTGGACCAGATCGCGGGGTCACGGGCCCCGGCCCCTCCCAGACCCCCGGGCGCCGCGACACGCGCTTACCTGCCCGGGCCTGGGCCGGGGCCCGGTGGTCCCGCGGCCGCCCGCGCAGCGCCCGCCGCGGGGAGCTGTCCGCCGCCGGCCGGTGCTGAAGGCGGCTTCCCTGCGCCGGGGCCCGGGCCGGGGCCGGGACCGGGGCCGCCGGGAGGCACTGGCCCTTCGCCGGCGCCGCCCTCCAGGCTGGCCTCGTTGCCCATGGCAGCGGCGGGCGGGCGGGTCGGGGTCGCTCTGAGCCCGGGCCGGCGGCTCCCGGGCGGCTGCTCACGCTCTCGGCGCCGCCGCCGCCGCCGCCATCTCCCTGCTCGGCTCGCGCCGCCGCCCGCCCTGCGCATGCGCACGCGCGCCCCTGCCCCGCGCACGCGCCTCCCTCCCGTCCGCGCGCGCTCACGCCGGCCCCGAGGACCCGCGTCCGGGCGCCCGCGGCGGGGTCGCTGGGAAACGGGTTTCGGAGTCGGCGCATGCGCCTTCCGAGGCCGACGCGGCCGGCGAGCGCTCCCGGAAGCCCAGCGGGAGTTGGCGGGACCCCGCATCCCAGCGAACCGGGGTGGCGGGCACAGACTGAGACAGGAAGGCGGGGTCTGCGGGCTCTTCTTGGGGTGCCCCCATGTCGCAGCTGGCAGCTTCGTGGGTACAGTGTGGCCTCGAAGGATGCTGAGGGGAGGCAAGGTCATGAAAGGACGGAGAGGAGGAGGCCGAGGGATGGGCCGCTGGGAGGGAAGACTGTCCAGATGGTGCTAGGAACCATCTGGGGTTCACGCTGAGCCTCCTCCGGGGCAGCAGCCTCGGGAAGGGACCCTGGCAAAGGTGGACGTGCCTGTGCAGGCTCTGGGACGGTGACCTTGACCTTGGGAGGGGGCACAGGAGTCGACCTTCCTCGGAGGCCTGCAGCCCGGGTCCCAGGGACTGTGTGGCCAGGAGGCCGCCTCTGCGCCGGCCTTAGGGTCCAATGATTGCCCGTCACCTCGCGTGTACAGACGTCAACGTTGGCACCAACCCGGGATGCTCGGCCTCAGGGCTCCTCACGCAGCCTGCGTTCCTGAGGGAGAACAGTTCCTGGAAGACTCAGGCGAGATCCCACACTCTCCCTGGCGTCACCCATCAGGGCTGCGCAGGAGAACTGGCGTAAACTTGGACCCAGCTCCAAACCCAGGCAATGCTCCCGCGCCGAGGGGACCAGGCGGGAGGCTGCGTTCCAGCCCGGCCTGGAGGGACCCGGGGACACCGCAGGCCAGGCTGGTGGCCAGACCTTCGCTGGCTGTCCCCGTGCGCCCCGCTGCTGCTCCCAGCCTCCGGGATGGAGCTCCCGTGCAGCCTGGAGGCACTGCCCCCCGGAAGAGGAGAGCCCGCTGCCTGCCTGCGTCGGGATGGCCCTCGCTGTGACTCCGTGCGCGCAGCCAGGCTCCGCGAGGACCTCCCGTCTCAGCCCTGCCACTGCCCACCCGGGACCCTGGCGACTGGTGTCGGCTCCCAAGCCTCATTTCCTAGCCTGCAAAGTCCTGATGACATTCGCCCCTCTGACATGGGGGCTGTGAGGGTGGAATGGCTGATATGGGTAAAGGACAAGGGTCTGGCATACAGGTGACCAACTTTATGATCTGTTGTCTCTCTGGTGGGTGGTCTTGGATTTGGGGGGTTTAGGGCCACACCTCTTCTCCTGAGGAAGAACAAGCGCACAGCCACTACGGCAGCCTCGGCCTGACCTTGACCCAACCCAGACTCTTCTGGCTTCATAGACACCCGTCAGTGTGGGTTGGCTACTAGAAAGGGGGTGGGGGGAGGTCCTGTTTCCTGAGAAGCCACGGAGCCACGGCTTCCCATAGACTAAATCAGCAGGCCGCTGGTTCCCGTGCGTAATTAGCGCTACCCAGCCAGTGGGCCGGGGGCGTGGCCCTCCTCGGAGTGGGTTCCCGGCTGTTAGCAGACGTCCAGGGTCTCTGCTGCTGGGTGACAAAGGACATAGCACAGTGGGGCCCGGAGGTGGGGGTTAGTGGTGCCCCTGCCTTCTTCCCAAGTTTCGGTTCCACTTCCTCCGCAAAGCACCCCAGGCAGATGCCTGCCCTGTCCCTCTCCACCCGCAGCGTTCAGCCCGGAACCCCTGCTGGCCAGGGGTGGTGCTGGCCTCAGGCTCTCTGGGGCTCCGATAAGCCTCCCAATTCTATTCACTATTCCAGGGGTGACTTGCTTCCTCTTGGCCTAGAGTAGGGGCTCCCCAAGCCAGGACCTTGTCCAACTCATTTTATTCCCTGGGGTGGCCTTCGCATGGCCTCGGGGTCTGGTGGGTGGGCTGGGTTCTCTATATGGATGGACACACGTCCACTCTCTGCTCTGATCTGTGCTCTCAAACCCCCGTGGACGACTAGAGGGAGAACGGACTCAGAAAGAAGATGGAATCAGTAGAGGAAGCACTCATGCCTGGGATTGGTGGCAACGGCTGGTCATTGGAAGGCAGATCTCGGACGAATGCAGAGATGCAGGGCCCCCAGAGCCGCACTGGACGCCCGCTGGGCCATGAGCCGGGCCACGTGTGGGTGTGCCCGCAGCCGGGGAGGGGCAGGGTGCCGACGCCAGGGCGTCCCTGCTGCCCCACACAGCTCAGTTCGCCCTGGGCTGCTACCCAGTGCAGTGACCTCCAGAGGGAGGACCAGGGTCCGAGGATGTGCCACGGGATGGAGAGGAATGGCAAGCTTTGCAGGCAGGAAGAGGAGGCAGAGCGAGGTGGGACAGGTAAGGAAGGGTGACAGGACGGCTCCAGATGATGGATACCATGGGCTTTGGGCTCTTCAGACAAGCTGGGAGCTGGAGAGCTGGCCCCTTCTACTGGGCCCTTTGAGTTCTGGGCTCTTTTTATTTTATTTTTTAAAATATATTTGTATTGATTTCAGAAAGGAAGGGAAGGAGAGAGAAACATCAATGATGAGAGAGAATCATTGATCGGCTGCCTCCTGCATGCCCCTGACTGGGAATCGAACCGTGACCTTCTGGTTCAGAGGTTGATGCTCAACCACTGCCACGTGGGCCGGGCTAGGCTTCTCATTGTGGTGCTGCTGGGACCTGCCTCTGAGGAGCAATCAGAAGCTCGGCACCCTGTCCTCACTCCTCCGGCTGGTGTGAGGCTACAAACAAGGGCCCAATCTTTGCCGTGCTCAGCAGTCCCCCCCCCACCCCCAACTGTGGAGAGCGGCTACAGCGCATGGACAGGTTCAAGCCTCGGACTAATGAGAGGGCTCGGTCCTCTCGTGGCAAAGCCCTCCCGGCACCAGGACAGCCAAAGGCTATGGTTGTGAGCTTGGCCTGATGGTCCGAGTCTGTGGGCCACGTGGCTGAGTGATGTGGGCTGCGGGAGGTGCGGTAACAAAGCTTGATCAGGTGCCTGTAACTGAGTGGATTCGAATCCCGTGAGAACGTTGTAACCACGCCCTTACTTTGCCTCCTGGAATCTGCTATAAAATAAGGACTCAGCTTGCAGGCCGTGGCGCTGTCGCTAGCTCTCCATCAGAGGGGACAGCGTCCCACCCTGACCCAGCTTTCTTCTTTTGTCGGTCTTTTCTCCATCCTTCACCGCCCCCTCTCGGGCTCACCGAACCTGGCTGTGCCGGCTTGGCACAGCCCCCTTCACCTTCCCACACCCACACCCCGGGCTGGCCTGGACAACCTCACTCATGTACTAGGGTCCTCAGCTGGCCCAGGCCCTGGGTGGAACAGGAAAAGGGAAGAAAGCTGGAAGGTATAGAATTGGCTTGATGCCTTGTCTGAATTCCTTTCCTGTTGCAATGTGAAGATCTTTATTTGCATTATGTGGGGGGAAATAGTAAAAAAAAAAAAAAAGAAAATCATCAGAAATGTTGACTAGCAGCCTAACCCGCCGCCCATCACTGCTCCCAGGAAAGCTAATTAGGCCCCATGCTGTTAGTGTTGTGTGCGCTTCCACACGCTTGTTATGACAAGAAAAAACCACGGAGCCACGGTTTCTCCGAGGTGTAAGCGTCCAAGTCAAAACACGCTGCTCCCCTTGGCCCTCGCGCTCCCGACAGGCTCCAGGCTGGCTCTGCCCCTCCCCCCGCCCCGCCTGCACCCATCCCCCTCAGGCCTCCAAGGCCCACTCAGTCCAGGCCCAGGGAAGACCGGGCGCTGCCCGCAAGGAGCTGTTTGCAGGAGAGACGGGGACACAAAGGGCTCCCCACCAACTAGAACATGCCACCTCAGCCCCATCGCATCTGCCCCACGAGGACCCCAGCTCCCCGGGGTTCCCTCCACCTCCTGCTCCAGGATGGGGAGTGAGAGTGTGGGGAGCAGGCCCCGTAGGAAGCCATGCCCTCTGCCCTCTCCTAATCAGCCCAGATGACAGGGGGTCAGACATGAGCTCATGCGTGGGCGGCCCAGGGGGAGGGTTCCACCCTCAGTCCCACGGTCCCCGAGAGGGGCCGCTCCCGACCTCTTCTCGGCTCTGCTCCTGCAAACCCACGCGCATTCCCGAGAAGACCCTTGATCGCCAGGGTCTCCGGCCCGGCCACGGCCCGGCCCCACGCAGAGCAGATGGTTGACAGGGCTGGTTTGCTCTGTCATCACCCAGTGCCCAGCGGGTCTCCAGGAGCCGCGGGGGAGCTCCCGCCTTCTAGGGAGGATGGGGCTCTGATGGGAAAGCAAGACCCACGTGGCTACAGGCCCAGATTCCCAAGTCCGGCCTTGGTCCGCTGCCCTCACGCCCGGCCCTGCCCCTCGTGCCCTGCCCCGCAGCAGCTGGTGTGGTCAGAGCATCAGCGGGCCAGGCATCAGGGTCGGCTGAGCCCTCCTGGCTCCCCCAGTTCCCGGCTGGATAGCGGCAGGTACCAGCTGGGCAGCAACACCTGGGTTGCCACGGCTCTTTCTCTATGAACAGCCCCTCGGGCTGGGAGGCCTGGCGTGGGCCTCAGCTTTCCAGGAAGGAGGTCCCTCTGACGGCGAGGGGGCCGTGCAGACTGAGGAACGAATAGCAAGGCTCGGTGGCCTCCATTTGCCACCAAGAGAGCAGAAAGGCCGTGTGCTCAGCTGAGCCCTCCCCGCATCTTTGCTGATCCCAACCAAGCCCACCCCACCCCCCAACTTTCTCCCGGGATCTTTTTGGGGCTCACAGAGTGGCTATGTCCCTCTCCTAGCCCCACGCGGCTAGGGCTTCTCTGAGGAGGCCGGGATGAGAGGAAGCTGAGGTGCTGCCTGGGACCCAGGGCATTGCTCGGGGGCACAGTGGTTGCTGAGTCAGAGGCACTGGGGTCAGAGTGGATGCCTCCAGAAGGCAGACACTCACCTCTTCCCGG